TACAATTTAGAACCAACCGTCTACAACTCACTTACTAATGAGCACTATAAATAATTATAATAATAAAGTGATAATTCTGTCATAATATACTTATATGTAAATAATTTTTAAAAATAAATCAATAATTAACCACAACTGAAAATTGCGCCGTTTCTAAGTATTTTTATGAGTTTACAATAATACGGGTACGCATACCTATCATAGATACGATTGTATGATATTCAGGAGAACTACCAACTATTAATAGTTAATAGTGTTGATACATATTATTTCTATTTACTACAATAATGAATAAATGTACTTGTGTACACTCACTGTACAGCATTTACGCATTAATGTGTGTTAATATTGTAATCATTCGAAGAAGATATATGTATAGCCGAATAGGAATAAGTAAATAAGTTGTATTACTATTAAAAATATATTTCATAAAATACTTAAATCTTTTTACATTAAATTTATAACATACCTATTTAATCACTGGTGAAAAAGGCTAAAGCGCACTTTACCACCCCATGCATATTTTTCGATTTTTTTTTTTGGAACTTATGTAACTTATCGAGTTAAGAACGATGGTGCAATCATAATTTGTCGCTCTCACTTAGTTTCGAAGTGATGGCCCTTGGAAGTAAGCAATTTTGAGTTTTTTTAAGCATGAGCGAAACGCTACGTGTCACGTCTTTCGCGATTTTTTTTTCTTATTCGTGAGACTACTAAATAAAAAATAAACGAGTGAACAAACACGGGACTAAGAGAGGTCAACTTCTCTAGAACGCAGCACTTGACGTAATGACATTTTAATTGTGTATTAAAATATAGTTTCTTTAATAATATAATATAATCTAAAATCGTATTTATAATTGAATGATTATTATAATTAATTATTATCAGGTAGGTAGGTACCTACCTACTATAGGTATAATGCGAGATTTTATTTAAACCAGATTGACTATTTCTACTTCCAGGAGAGGAATATTTTTAATTGTGAAAATGCAATTTTCATTTTGAAAAATGCAATTTTCTTAACCCTGTGACCCACTTGGGGAGGTGTTGCATAGCAAATAGGGGGATATTTTCGTTTTTAATTGTCCGAGCGAGCGCAGCGAGCGAGTGGCCCCGCTCGGTGACTCGGTGCAACAAAAATGCAATTTTCTTAACCCTGTGATCCACTTTGGGAGGTGTTGCATAGCAAATCGGGGGATAAATTATTATTGCACTATCGTTTTAAACAGGTTAGAATACGTAAGTACAATAAAATAACAAAAATAGTCCTCCGCGCGACATTATAGAGTAGTGTTGCGCGCATGCGTATAGACGTAAAATTGAAAACTTTGGAAGACCATAACTTTGAAACTAAGTGAGCGACAAATTCTGATTGCACCATCGTTCTTAACTCGATGAGCTACATAAGTTCAAAAAAAAAAAAAATCGAAAAATTTGCATGGGGTGGTAAAGTGCACTTGTTCCGTGAAAAAATTAATGTATTACGAAAAAACCAAAAAATGTATAAAAAATTAGTATGCGAATGCCGCGTATGAAATATTTTCAAATTTTGCCGCCGGGGGCAAATGCCCCCTTTGCCTCTCGTTAAACACGCCTCTGTCTACTAGGGCTGTAATATCATAAAATAACATACAATAAATTAAAGATAGTGTGGCACGCGTAGGTTTTTTGGGTGGCAACTTACGCGGCCAACATACACAAGGTACGAAATAATGTACTCTAAGACGGATTAAGGCAGATGAATGTTTATTGTAATTAATCGGATGTAAATATCACAGAGCAAGATGGAGGCAATGCCGGTCACTAGCAGGGGGGACGGTGTTGAGTCGCGAAGTTCTGAACCGACGCACGGGTCGGGATTTTAACGCGATGGGAGTAGGTACGCCGGTGTCTGTCGCGAAGTGCGTGTTACGGGTTGTGTACTTGGGGGAGACCTATGGTCGTGTTGTTGAGTACTGAAAAGTGTAACGTGAGCACGCGGACGGACGGACGGTTTCAAGAGCTAACTGTTTTAGGACGCGATAACCCATTACGTGTAGAGAAAAGACTGTTCGTTGGCAGCCGCGAGCAAATACTATATATGACAATACGGGACAAACAATAATGATTGTAGACGACATAGCCCCCCGAAAATACTCGAACGCGCTCTATATGTCAAATACTGAACTTCATATTATATTAATTAATAAATTTAAATTTAATACAAGTTTTCTAATATATTTTTACAATAGCTGAATAGCAGTTGAAAAATACATAGGCACAATTTTTTTTATAAGCATTTAAAATTCGAATTTTGACAAAATTTATCAAAATCTCGAAAATTATAAATCATTGTAATTAAAAAATTATAAAATGTTCAGTTTTTATAACTAAGAGTTGAAAATTTAAAACAAAGATTCTCATAAATAACTCATACTGCTGTAACCAAAAAATCTAAAAAATATATAAACACATTTATTTTTTACACATTTTAAATTCAAATGTGGACTAAATTACATATTAAAATCAAGAATAACGATTTTAGTTTGTTTGTTGTAATTTAAAAATATTATTTGTTGATGTATGATTGTATGAAACATTTAGAGTAAGTATATTGTTATATTTTATATACACTCAATGACATTTTAAAATGTAATTTTTGGGGAAAAATGGATTACAGTAATATTTAAAAAATTATAAATTGTTCAATTTTCCACCGTGCGGCATTAAAGTAGTGTTGTGCGTATTCCTATATTATAAACGTAAAATCGCAAACTTTGGATGGCAATAACTTCCAAAATAATGGTTTTCGTTATTTTTTTTTGTACCACCATTCTTAAATCATTAAAATAGGTAAGTATGTTTCGTAAAAATATTTATGCCCTATGTTGTACACTGTGTTTAGCCAATATTTGTATTTTTGCCCTGCCCCCCTCGTGCACCTCCCAAAATTAAGCATTGGATCCGCCACTGGCGCAAATTGACGAACATTATTGGGAGACTATTATATTATATGAATTACTATATTTCGTCCGTTTTTAGTGCATATAATTCTGGGCCCTTCAGCCCTTGATAAATATAAATTAAAAACCAAGCGATCTCCATTTTATTGGAATGAATCTATATATAGTATTTGATAACAAAAATAAACATTTGTTTTTACAAAAATAAATATTTATAATAATTATGCGTAATTAATATAATATAATAATATAAACAGGCCATGGGCCTTTATAGTTCATGAATTCAATTAATAATTAATTGTAATATATAACATAAAATATAACAATGCCTTCACACAAAAGTTGTTTGTTTTGGAGTTGTACAAATAACAGCCGAAGAAATAAAGGCTTAAGTTTTCATAAATTTCCATCAGATGATAATTAGTAAGTATACAGTTATTAGTTACTATAGTTAAAGTCAAATATCTATAAGGAGGTTTATCGGCCATCTCAAGGGGGTAACACAGATTGTACATTATAAAGGTAACCTGTGGTAGTTCATTAAAATTATTATTATTTTATAAATTTCATACTTTCATAGAAATAACTGGTCAAAAATATTATTTTTATTGTAATCAGCAATATGAATATTGAGAATAAATAATTTATTTAAACAATACATTATGAGTTTATAAGATAATTCAACTGTTAAAAATACATTTTAATAACACATTACATTTTTTAAATACTTCTGATGGCTTGGAATAGTTACATGATTTTTACTTACCTTAGTTAACTGAAAACCAAGTAATGTATAAGTGTATTAAAAATGTATTTTGAAATATTATTACTTTAGTTGCATACTATGGCTTGATCAGTGTAAAAACCAAAAAATAATAAAAGAATATTACAATTATGGAAAACACAAAATAAAAAATTATACCATTTGTTCAGAACATTTTCAAAAGGAAGACTTTTATAATCATGAACGGTAATATTAATTTTCTTACATTTAAAAATAAATTAAACACAAATTCCGTATTTATTTGATTAAAATTAGGAAAATTCTAAACAAATAGGCAGTGCCCATCTTAACATCGTGCCAACCACCAGACATGAATAAATCTACTGGATATACTACTGCGTCACCTGAAAAATCATTAGTTGGTAAAGACATTCAAATATTAAAAAATAAATGATTCATTACTTTATTACTTCATTTATTTTGAAATCAATTTAATACAATTTTATTTTACATTAGATCACAGTGAAAAAAACATAGGAATGAAAAGTATCTTAAATGAAACGATAATTGATAAAACTGAAAATCAATCTAAGAAGAAAGAACCTGGGTGGAGCCCTCAAAACCCAATTCCTAACGATATTTGGTAGATAAAATTTATTAACTTTCCTTCAATATAAATAATTTTAACCATGATAATAGCTTATACGATATTTTACTTCACAGGTAAAGATTTTTTTAGAATTTCAGTTAAAAGGAAATGTTATAAAAGAACATTTAAGCCACGATCGTTAAATTTTAACAAAGATTGTATGAAACCAGAAGATTTCCTTGAATGTAAGTTTCCTCTTAAATTCTTTTTTTTTTTTATTTTAGAAATGTACAGTTTGAGTATTTAGTATAAATTTAAAAATATTTGTAAATAAATAATGTAAATTAATGAATAACAAAAAAATTAAATACATCATTAACTGTTTTTTGTAATCTACAATGACCAAATAAATCTTATAACAATTTTTATTTTAAATTAAAAATTAAACAATGGATCAATGTATTTTGTTAGGTATTTAATTTAATAAGTTTTAATGTTTGTTTACAGGTAAATTATGAGTTGTTTACTTAAATTTACTTAAATTCGAGTTGTACAATTATCAGGTACTCAAAATAATTCAGAACTTAAAAAAAAAATTATCAAATTAAAAACACAGTTACGAGTTTACCAAAAAATGATTCATGCTAAAAATAAACAAATACAAAATTTAAAAACAAAAAATAGTGACAAAACTAAGATTATTGTAGAAAAGACAAATAATAATTTTTTGTTAAAAACACAGATGAGACTAATGAGTTTAAAAAAAAAATTATGGCGTTTTAAAGAGTATGAAAAAAAGTTTGCTTTGAGTTTATATTATAACTCTCCTAAAGGATATACAATCATGAGAAAGTTTCTGTGTTTACCTACAGTAAGATCACTTAGGCGATGGCTCCAAAATTTAAATGTAGCTTGTGGCATAAATGATAATATTTTAGCAGTGCTTAAATGTAAATTATCATCTTCACCACTATCAGATAGAGCTGTGTCAATAGTTTTTGATGAAATGTCAATAAAAAAATTTATATCTTACAATTCCCAAAATGACATGTTTTCGGGTTATGAAGATTTTGGAGATTTGATTGATTCAAAAAATATTTTACACTGTAATCAAGCTTTAGTCATAATGCTAAAAGGTATAAAACATTCACGGAAACAAGTAATTGGTTACTTTTTTTCAAGTGGACATATATCAGGAGTAAAACTTAAAACTATTATATCAAGTACTATTCAAAAAATATCTTCAATAAATCTTATTCCAAAAGTCATTATTTGCGACCAAGGAACAAATAACCAACAATTAAGAAAACTATTCGGTGTGACAATAAATGAACCATGGATAACTTATGAAAATAATAAAATATTCTTTATGTACGATACACCTCACCTTTTAAAATCGGTTAGAAATAATTTTAAAAAGTATGATTTTAAACATCAAAACGAAATATACTCATGGACAGATATTGTAGCTTTTTATAATCTTGATAAAGACAAAGTGCCAAGACTAGCCCCAAAGCTTAAAGAAATACACATAAAGTTCCCGCCATTTTCACCAATGCGTGTATGTTTGGCAGCACAGACTTTTAGTCACACTGTAAGTTCTGCAATCTTAACACTTGTATCAAATAATCAACTTTGTTCAAAAGCAGTCTATACTGCAAAATGTATCAAGCTTTTAGATGATTTATTTGATGTGTTCAACAGCGCCTCATTTGACGAATGCAAAAAATTTCGCAAACCATTATCTGAAAATACAATCCATTGGAAATTATTAAATGAAGCACTACAGTTTTTTAACTAATTAGAAATAAAAAATGCAATGAATAAGCAACCTCCGTGTATCACAGGATGGATTGCAAATATAATATGCTTAAAAAATTTATATCAAGATTTACATGAAAATTTTAATTTTGAGTACCTTTTGGTAAGACGCCTAACACAAGATTGCCTTGAAAGTTTGTTTTCGGTGATTCGTGCAAAAGGAGGTAATAACATCACACCAGACTCCTCCAAGTTTCATTCTGCAATACGAATGTGCATTGCCCAAAAACTTCTTATGCCTCCTGTTAATGGAAATTGTGAGGTTGATGCATGTGCATTTTTAATTAGCTGTGCTGATTTACTAAAAAATAAACAAAAGTTTAAATTTGAATTGCAACAAAAAGAAGCAAATATTTCTTCACTTGATGATGTAGATTCCAGGTTTGATGATAATTTAAGTGACATGAACATAAAATGCATACAGTTGGGTATTCATGAAGAAAATGCTATAGCTTACATAGCTGGTTGGGCTTGTTCAAAATTAAGCCATTCAAACTGTATAAATGAATTAGCTACAAAGGATAAAAACCAATCAATGACAATGAAAAACAATTTTATAACTATGAAAGAATATGAAGAATGTACCTAACTTACTTTTACCATTACCGGGCACATTGAATTTTGTTGAAAAAATAGTTTCTCTCTTCAATAATAATATAGAACATTTATTGATAGACAACAAACGTTGTATAAAGAGAAGAATGTTGGCTAAAATTAATTGTTACATAAAAATATGTCCAAACATTTGTCAAGATTGTAGATTTTTGTTTATTGATAAAATTTTGAATGTAACTATCAATTCTTATATAAAAAAATGTAATAATACACCAACTTATAAACAAGTGAAAAGTAAAAAATTAAAAAAAATAATGCATTTATAATAATTGTATGAAAATAATGTCACTATGTATTATACTATTATGAATATTTTTCATAATAACTTTAAAATATAATAATAATATGTATTATGTTTTTGTTATTTGATATCTTTACAGTTTAATTATATACAATTGCTGATTCACTGATTGTTTTAAAATTTGTACATTGTCATAAATTAATAATAATAAATATAAATAAAATAATATATTACACCACAGCAGCTGTAATCGATTTTTGTTATATAATTTAAAATTCAAAATATTTTTAATATCATTAATTGCTTATCATATTTTTCTGGTATATAGCTGAATATTGCAAACTACAGTACTAGAGCGCGTTGGTTACATTCTTGGGGGGCATACTTTTGTCGCGATTTTTGACACTAGTTGTCCCGTATTGTCATATACCTATAGTATTTGCCGCGAGCCGCCCGACACTTCGCGGTCGCGAACGACGCGGAGGGCCGAGCGGTGTTGCCAACGCAGGGAGCGCGACCGACATGGGAAGGGAGTATTGTGGCGAGAGATGGGGGTCGTTCTCCGACAAACATAAATTTGATAACATAATGTAACCTCAAACATTTTCCAATACCAACATAATTTGAATTAAATTGATATTAGGGAAATGTTGTACCAATCATACCGCCGTACTTGTCGGAGTATCGGACTATTATTGCTTAAAATATATTAGAACAGTGCACAATTAAAAATAAATCAATTGTGTTCTTGTAGAATTAAAGACTATAAGATTTGGTAAAATAAATAATTTCATATTGTTGCTTGACATTATACTGAGTTAATGTATTGTCGTATGACAACATACCCAATAATTATTAAGCGATAACACGTTTTATAAGTAAAGTTGTATTTTAGAATCATCGTGTAGCGATGAATTTATTGGTTTTACAGTGATTATGTGTGTTTTATTGTCAATAAGCTTAATTTTAAAAATTTTTATTACCTAATACTATAATTATTATTATTAACATTTAACATACTAACATATTATTATGACAATTTTATTGTATTATTTATGGTTATATTTTTTAACAATTGAATTACCTATTTATTTTATATTATTACATTTTTCAATATTTATTGAATAACACGTTTTATAAGTTGTTCGATGATTATGTACTATAATACCTTACCGTAGAAAAAAAACTTCATAAGTTACTTGATACTTGCAAATACTGTAAATGATTTACACTTTACAGTATTTGATACTTGTTAGTACTTTCAGCTTTGATATTTGTAGGTTGTAGTGTTGATATGTTGTACACATGGTTTTTTTTCATTAATAGTTTTATAAAAATAAGTTTTGATATTTAGTTCTTACAGTTGGTCACCCTGACTGTCGGAGTAAAAATTGGTTGTTATCATTTGTCGGAGAACGGCCTTCGTCCGTTGTGGCGAAGTCACTGGCTCGTGATATGATCGAAGGGGAACATTGTGATAATAATCATGACAACATCTTGTCATGATAATAATACCTATTATCCAGTATTCGTGTAATCGTGTTATTATCAATTATTATTCGAAGTTTGTACTGTTTGTCTGTTAGTACTTTCTAGGGCGCACTGCTTACACCACTTTTTTTTTTATTGTCACGAAACTACAAGCACACATTACAGATCAATTGAACACTATACACAGCTGCTGTGTTTACGGTACCGAGTACACTACATTAGTGCTACATTAATCCAAGTTGCATGCATTGTTTTATGCTTGTGGATACGTTTTAGGTGAGTAAAATATAATTCAATCAGCTGATGTATTTTATTTAATCAATATTTGATACTATAGCGGACTGACCAACATAGTTCAACGTTCCTCTGAATACCTTCATCGTCAACGCTCTACGATATATTATCAAAGTACACCGCTACACCTTTAAAAGTAAGTTGAACATCAAAATCAATTTATAAACCTATTATAACAACGGAAAAGTGTGAGATGTTTATTAGAGACAGTTTGTTGATGTCACTTGTACAACATGATAATTGATAGTATCAACTATTGTTGAAGCAAGTGCCTAAAGGCTAAAGTACTAACACATTTTGTGTATGTTCAATGTACAATACTGTAACGTACCAACCACTTCAACTCAATATTGATGGTATTTTGAATTAAAATAACAAGTTGATGGTATAATGATAGTTTATTTGTATTTATTTAACACGAAAAATATTCTAAGTCCAAATAATTAAATTATAAAATAGTGGTAAACGGGTTGTGACTTGGTATCGACTTTGTGGCTGTTCTGCTATAGTGCTCGTCGTCTCGGCTGGTGTTCGTCTGATGGACACTTGTCCATCGACGTATTTCGTCGGTTTTCCTATTAGATCCCTCCTATGGAATTTTTAGTATAAAAATAGTACATAGCCGCGTACACCTGACGTCATTTCGGCGTCCTCTACGAAATAATGTTAATTGGGGATTATATGTTTTCAAAGTTATCTATTTTGTTGTTTACGGCTTTTTTGTCTTTCCCAGAATATGGATAATGCGCGCGTTCTATACTCTTATCGATGTGGCCACCCGGACGTTTATATTATTACTATTATCGGGTTACGTGCCCTCTGCCGCATTTATATCTGTTATTGAATATAATATATTATATTATAAGCGTATTATACTTAATACAGCATAATATAATATAATATTTTATATATTATTACTATTATAATATGTACGTAGTCACAGCCCGTTACAATACGCTACGTGTACCAAACTTGAGTATTTCCATGATGTATTTGGCAATAGGTACCTATATATTATGCTTAAAAATTGGTCTTAAAAGTTAATGTCAACAACTAAATTACTAATGTATTACCTTTATGTAAAATATAATATACCTACATCTTTAGCATAATACAAGCCATGTATTATGATTATTATAATATTATTATTATAATACAATCACTTTTTGTATTTCACATGTTAGATCTTGATTCTATACTATTTAAATTACATTAATGTATCTTTTAAAAAATGTACAATTAATTTAGGTATCCTTTTTCTATATTTCAATTTTGTGTATATTAATTAAGTAGTTATGATCAAATGTTATCAACAATAAATTAAATTATTATTGAATTGTGATACTACTAGTACACTACTTGATTAAATCAGATGTTATTAGTAATGAAAAAAAATCAAACTTGATGATTTTGATTCATACCTACCTATTAAATTAATGATATTATTTTTATAATTTTTAGACTATGGCATCCTGGTTATTTGGAGTTTCTAAACAATCGGCTGATCAGATTGTTGATACAAAAGACACACCATCTGCTTCAACAGCGGTTAATCCAGAACCTGTGAATACCTTACCCACAATGCCTCAATTACTTTATGATTTACAACCAGCAAAACCAAATATTCCTGATTTAAAACCTACTAGTATGCTGGACAGTATACCATTCGTTTTATCCAGCCAAATTATTATGACTACTAAAAACTATAGTTATAATTTAGATAATACAAAAAGACAATTATTATCTGTAAAAAAATTGATTGAATCAGATGCATACAATTATGATTTTTCCAATGATAAAAGACTGGTGAGCGATACTTCAATGTATGCTAATTAAAATACCACTATATAATAAACTTCAAATTAGTATACATTACTTTGTAAGTAAAATAAAAATGACTATGCTTCTTAAGCTACTTATGTCTATGATAATCATTGGTTTCATTGAATTTGTTTTAAATTTTTTCACTAGACATAAGCAACATTTGTTTATCATCGGCTTGGAATGAAAAGTTACTATAATATAATAACTAAAAATGTAATGTTAGGAAATAATATTTAATGTTTTTATTCCCAACCTTCCCACTGATTCAATCATTAGTATAGTTTACATTTTCTATTTAATTGAATAATGGCCTTGATGAAAATAATATTAAGAAATTTTGTTTTGATAATAATTAATTGGGCTTGGAAGTTGATGCATGTAAATCTGTTATAGCATGTAAATCTGAATAACAAATTTTTATTTGGTATATTTTGGCTTTTTTACTTTTTAAGTAATTTTTTCACCTTTTAAGGTAATTTTCCAATATTTTTAGCTGATTTTCCTTATTTCCCACTAGTTGGAAGAAAATATAACTAGTTTATTAAAAACCCAATATTAATTAAATTCATATCTTTCATCGTTTATCAAATAATATGTAGGTGCTAACATTTAATAATAAACCCAATCGCTTCAATTATCTTATGGTTTCCTGTTGACCAATCCCCAAAAAAATTCACTATTGAACAACACATTTCACATATAAAACATATAAAATCTATAGATATAACAATTTAAAAAACAATCAAAGCTTTATAACTACGTCATCAAAAATATCTACTTTTAATTGTAATTTAAACGATTTATGTTATGATTTATACATTTTTGTAATTTATATATTTTTTTTATTAATTTTAGGTAATATTTGCATTTTTTAATTGTTTTAAGATCATCAACTACCAAGCCCTAAATTAATGAGTGTAAAAATATCATAGTCGGAATAATACTCATTTGTTAATTATTCTATTAATGTTATTTATACATATTAGGTATTTAGGCTGATTATATTAAAACTCACTAATTATTGTAGTTTTTGAAAATATAAAATTAATTATTTTTAGTACATTTCCATTCTAAATCAAATAATAATTGTAATATTATAATATATTTGTTAATTTAAACAAGCAATGTACAACAAATATAAACAAGTATTTATTTTTATAAATATTTCAAACTCATTTATCTATAAATATTTATTTTTTATTTGATTTCATACTAAGGCTAAATTGGTACTTTCATAAAACAATTAAAAAGAGTTTTGAATAAAATAAATTAATATCATAATAGTTTGTTTTCTTTATCATTATCTCTAATATTATTTTGTAATTAAAATTAAAACACAAGTTATTAGGTATTTATGACTTATGAATAAACAGGATCCCGGAATTCTGGATTTTTTAATTTTAGTAATTTTAACCATACCAAATCATGTATTTTGTTATTAATGTAAACCCAAATCGAACTACAGTCTACTTTTCAATTTTTATATCTAATTTGAACTGAACTTTTAAATTATATTTATTGTTGTAATTTCTCTACATTTTACAAGGCTAATTTAATATTATTATTAAAATAGTTTATTAAGGAGTGTGATAAGCATTATTTATAGCTTTTCTTGTATTAATACTTATTTATTGTAATTAGTAGTACTTATATTTTATAGTTATTAAATAATTCATGATTAATTCCTAACTTATTACATTTATTATAATTGTGTTTGTGATTATTATATTGTCAAAAGTCTCATAGCATTTATACCTAAAATAAATAGTAATTAAAAATTTAAATTGCATTGAATTTGATGTTTAACTATGAATTGATACCAATCTATTAGGTTTTTAAAGTGGATTGAATATTTGTAATAACAATACTTCAAATTGAAATTGAATCATACTACTAAAGTATTTTAGGTTTGTAAACTTCTTAAAATCAAATACTTATAGTTTAGTGTTTTACCTATCAACTAGAAAACAATGGTGAATTCAATAAAGTTTGATGAACATTAAATTATTTATAGTATAGAAAAAAAAACAATAATTTTGTCTTCCAAAAATATTTAATTATCAAGATATTTTTTCTGGTGCATTTGCTTTAAATAAATATATTTTTCCAAATAAAATAGACAAATTTAAAGTAGTATAAAAAATTAAAAAAAAATTTTTGGATGTTGATTTTTGTAATAAAAAAATAAAATGTAATAAAAAAATCCTAAAATTGTTGATAAAAATATGGGTTATATTATTATACATATAGTATATACATTGATCATCATCACATATTATAACACTATTTTGCTTGCTGTTTAATACGCCTGACAAATAAAAGTAAAATAAAGTAAAATTATTGAGATATGTGCAACCAATATAAAAGTTGTTGCAGTCATTTTTGAAAATCTTTACTTCCTTAACATTGACTAAATAAAAAAGTAATACATTTTTACTAATAACATATTTCCTAGGCGAGTTTCAATCTTCGTATATTGGGTTGAAATATTAATAATGTTTTCACCGTGCAACAGTTTAACTATAGTGTAATCACTTAACAGGACACTACACAGACATTTTTTGTCTGTCTTACAAGTGTGTAACATGGTAAATTTTTATGCTCAGCAGATCACAATAAGCTCGGTCACTTTAAAAATTAGGATGAATTTACCTCTTATAAAATTTAAAGGTAAGAACATTATCTCATAGTCTTTTTATTATATTTTAATTTTAAAGCTAATTATGTGCATTTTAAAATTGTAAATTGTTTGTGCATCTTAAAATACTCGCTTTGAAATTAAAATATAACATATAGTCTCTCAGATGCTCTAGATAATAATCTTACCTTTAAATTTTATAAGAGGTAAATTCACTATGATTTGTAAACTAACGGAGCTGATGTGATGTGTTGATCGTACAATTTGCTATATTACGCACTTCTAAGACAAGGACTGCAAATGTCTGTGAAGCGTCTTCTTAAATGTGTAACTTATTAAAAAAAATACTGTAAACTTCAATTAGATATAACTTAAAAACTAAAACCGACCACCAAATTCTGACTTCACTATCGTTTGCATTACGCTAAACTACATACGTTCAAACAAAAAAAGGGTGGCCGGTAAAGTAGGAAAGTTCCAATGTTTTAGTAGATTGCTAAGGTTTAAGCTTACAGTTTGTAACAATAATAAATTAGAAATAAATACAGTGTGGGTAATGAACAAAAAATGTCTTTATTATGTTGTACATTTAATAGGTACTAAAAATCAATTTTTTCTGTTGCTATAATTTGTATTTTTCATATAAATATTTGCTATTTACATAACTGTGTGTACATTTAATTGAAAGTTGAATTTATAATCAGTAACCCAGTAAACTAGACCCTAGGTTTTATGGGTATATTTGTGTAATCCCATTACTGAGTATAAAAATGGTAATTGTAAGTAGTCACTTTTTGACATATTGGCTATATAAGTATGTAACACACCTTTAAATGCATTAATTTCAATATAATTAAAAATTAGTAAAGTGCTAATATACAAAATACATTTTTGAAAAATAAGACACAAGGTACATTTGATCTGATAAATAATATCAATAACAATAAAAAATATACATATATATATGATATAGATGATATTATTGATCTAATATGTTATGTTACAATTTCGGATAACACATAAAATAGCTTTTTAAAAGTATTCAGTGATTATAAATATTAAATACAAATATATAGATTACACATTTTATCAAAAGAATAATTATAAAATAATGATAAATTCTTAAAATATTTAATTTTGCATTAAAAAAAGTATAAAATATATTTTAAGGTATTATTTTGTATTATACTGTATAAAATATAGTTTATAAAATATACATTAAAAAATGTAATAACATTACTTACAAGATCATTATAATACAATTTTATCGTGAACTCTTTTAAAAATAAAAAGTTACCTAGCAAAGTAATGGTATTAGAAATATTTTCCATATGAATAAAGTCCAAAACACACAAACACAAAAATGATGAATGGGCCCCATGTTTTAAGCCATGCACTGCAACTAGAAGTACAAATTATTTTAATTATCATATTTTTTATACATCGTAAATATAAATGATTAATTATAATGATTTTACCTCACATATTTTCCAAAAATAAAAGTGTACAAAGCTAATTTAACCATATTCCAATTTTTGCTTTTACTGTAATTCATTAATGACAATGCCATGCCAACATGGGAATGACAGTTATCACATAGTAGGTTGTGCTAAAATAAATAATCATTATTAGTTTAAACTTTCAATTTATATGTAATAAAATAGAATAAACAATTACAATTTTAATTATAGTTATGTATAATGTATAGCGCGGATTTGTATGCATTTGCACATTTATACTGATTGTATGATATGCTAACTGAGAGCAGGATTTTTTTCATGACATAACTATTTAAACTATGAAACTTTTATGGTACATATTTTGCATATTTCGATATTTATCAATTATTTTTTTTTATTTTAAGGGCTTATTTTACAATTTTAGTTGCATATTCCTATTTTTTCTTATTGATTAAAACATTACCTACAAAACACAAATATTTTAAAGAAAAGTATTTTTACTAGCGTTCCATAATTTTAAATTTATTATTTAAATTAAATATTCAAAGAGTAATTAATGTATTTTTTGATTATTTTTGTGTGCATATTTGAACATATGAAGGCATATATTTATGCATATTTAAGATTTTTTAGCACATATTTGGTTGGTTTTTAATGCATATAAATTTGCGCTCTTGTTATATCACATACAAAATGATGAATAAAAAAATAACAACATTAAAGTTATATTGACTTATTATTAATATTACCATTCTATTGAAATATTCAATCGATGCTTCATTAACAGCTTTATCCCATGCTTTAGAACCACCAATTATAGTTCTTATATCCAACTGCCAGTACTTAGTAGGATATCCAAAGGCCATATCATCTTCAGCAACATAAAATGATCCAGAAAAATCTCGTATTACCCCAGTTGATGTAGTGATTCCCATATGACCAATAAATGGAAATAACCAACTACAAAATGGACAAAGAACATTCCTATTAAAAACTGTTATTGTATCAACAAGTTATAGGTTAAATTAACATGTCAGCTAAAATGTTAAACAATGTATAAGCATACTCAGCCATAACTCTTAATCATTGATTATAATAATGACTCTTTTATGATTGTCAGTTATAATAATATGTTTATATTGTTTAATAATTAACAATATAGTATGTAAAATGCTAACACGACATAGTAAGTTTTATAGTTGTTATCCTATGACATAGTATTTAGTACATAAAATGTAAACTTTTGTAAACATTAATAATTAATATTTTATATTAATGTATTCATATATTATACATAATGAAGAATAATTAAAAATAAATATGTTGCATAAATCATGCCCTATGGCATGTAAGTTAAAATCATCAAGGCCCAAAGAAAAACTCACCTTATAAATGGTATCGGAGTCCAAACCACACTGTACGGATAACGACGTGTATAATGGTCATCAACATCCATTTTTTACTATAACAAATTACCTTCTAATTTAGTACAAAGTAAAGTGCATTCATCAAAACATGAGTAGGTACATTACAACATTTATAAATTATGATTTATGGTATCCTGACAAAATGCAACAAGAACAACAAACGTTATCACTTATCACATTAATTTATTTGCTTATCAATTATCATTATACTTATTCATTATTGTGTTTATCTCGTAAAGTTTAAAACTCTATGGTTTATCTCATAGACTTTTATAAGCTATGGTACCCACCAAGCCCGGATTAAGGGGGGTCCACTGCCCAGGGCGGCATGGTCCCGGGGCCCATTGATTTTGGGGGCCCATCTTTATCCCCAAAATATATTTTTTTAACGCGTCCAATACAGTTTTAAAAAAAAATATATTTAAGTGGGTAGGTAAAGGTAGTAGGTAAATTATTATTACTTAATAAATAATAATTATAAAATAAAATTGTTCTTAATTTTATATCATGAGAAATTACTATAAATAATGAACTGTGTTAGGAAACACAATTTTGATTATGTTTTTTTTTCTGAGCATTTTCGATTTCTGATTTATCTATTTAAGTATATAGGTAGTTATAAGAAAAAAATTTTTAGCTCTTGTAAATTAGGTATTTCAGTTAAAAGTATTAATGCATATTATACTAAACTTTCGAGGACCATAGTTAATAAGTAATAACCTAACGAACTAAAATTTATCATTTGACTGTCAAAATGTTCAGACAAAAAGCTTTACCAGAATCCATGAAAAAATAAAGTGTTTAGGAGGTAGGTACCATTTGAAAAAAATAAAGTCGATTTTAATATTGGTACAACTGCGTGTTTAAAAATTTTGGAAATGCTATAAAAAAATGCCTGTTAAAAATAAAGAAACACGTCTTTTTTTGTTTTAATGAAATTCCATATCATCGATCCATAATTGTAAAAAAAAAACCCACGTACTATGACATAAGAAGCACTCTGTATGTTTTTTGCATAGTAAAAAATTATACAATAATATAAAGTCTTTAATATGTAATGATACAATTATTTTGAAGTTGAAAGCGGGCCCAATTGATCCTTAATCCGGGCTTGGTACCCACCTCCTAATTTTATATTTATGCGTGTACCCTTAACCAAAATCTTGGTAAAGAGGTACCTACACGGACCATGAACAAAACGTATTAATGTTACAAAGTAAATAATATTTATATTGGGTACTATTTATTAAATAGTAAATGGTGTTAATAGCAAAAATAATATTATACAGTTTATACATACTACGTACATTGATATAAAATATAATATTATCTTATTTATCTTGCACAAAATGTTAGTACACAACTATAATAGACAGAGAGCCTTTATATATAATTTATTGTATTATATAATACTTGATTGTTCATAATACATACTCAAAAATCATTATTTCACAAAACTAATATACACTATTATTCATAATTTATGAGCCAGATAAATTAAATTTGTTATTCAAATTAGTGACATTTTTCAGCAACTTAAAAAATAAAAATATCATAGGTAATAATTAACAAGACTGACAGTGACTTGTGTATTTTTTATTAATATTATATTATGTTACAAATAAAATAACAATAACACATTCAATTTATTATCAAATAAATAATCAAATAACTAATGTAGAATATTGTATGTATGATTTGATTGGGGGATGGGTCATTATAAAACCGATACATTTATAAATTGTATGATACTACATAAAAATGTAATTCAAATTGTACAATGATTTATGACATTTTAATAATTATATAGTTATCAGTGATAACTTATTACAGAATCGTTTTCTTTATACAATGATATTTTATATCAATGAATTCAAATTGAACACCATCCATTACAGTGACCCACTTGTAACCTACTGTACAGAAGCGTGACACCCTGCACTTGCCCACTTTCTTTTATTTAACTTGTGAATTACCTAGTAAATTCTTCCAGATCATCTATGGTGTATTATCCTATTATTATTTTCATTTCAATTGTGAGTATATCTTGTTACTGTTAACTAATTCATTTTTTTTATCGTTTTTTTTATACAGGCTCCAAATAAATGTTATATTTGTAAAATAAAAATTAATACAAAAGTTAAGTCATTGTAAAATTAATCCATAACACTATTGTAAGCTTTTAAAATATAAACAATTTATAATACGTCTGGACTAATAAAAATAAATGTATTGAAATATAATTATCTTAAATTTGTGTTCTATATTTATCAACAAACAATACACCCCCCCCCCCCTATGGTATTATACTGTTATTTATATGACATATTATATTATATTAAATATTTGCACAATACCTATGTAGTATGTACATCTGTCAATCAATTATATGATTTATTAATTAACAGCACTTAATACTAACAACAAATTCATTGTATTATTCAATAATACATACAACATATTATTTAGAAATAAAAAATATAAATATAAATTTAAAAATAATAATACAAAGAAATATACAGTAAAAACGGTATTTCTATTTTATTAAAAGAAAATCAATTTTCAGTAATAGTTATAACACCCACTAAGAGAAGGGCTAATCAAATGAAAGAGGTAAAATAAATAATATTTGTTGACAGCACAAGTGCATGTGATCCTTTGAATCATTCAATTACATTTGTCATGTGCCCAAGTTCAATCATTCTAACAAAAGGTCAAACTCATGAGTGTTATTGTAAAGGATTTAAATTAATAAACTTAGGAATGAAAAACGGGAATATATATTTACACAACACTAGTTTTCGATTTTTTTTTATTAATTTTTTTCAGTCAAAAAACTTGAAAATTAATTCAAGGTTCCTTATAAGTTGTGCGTAGGTACTTCGCACAGTAATTATAAAATACTGAAAATATAAAATAGTCCCAATATTTTTATAAGCGTTTGAACTTTGAAGTGTTGAGTTTTAATAACATTCAAAATATTTTGTAATTAAAAGTTCATACAATTTTTAATTTTAATATATAAGGCTTGAAAATGTAAAAAAAAAAGATTTTTCATAACAACTTATTCACACAGGAAAAAAAGAGTTTAGTGTAAAACTGTAAAGCCACATTAAATGCAAATAATAATGATGAGTGTTAGGTACCTAACTGATAAGTGTCTCTCTGTCAATCGTATGGAACATAATGGACGATATCGCGCGTCACCTTGACGATTGTGTCTATATATTTAGTGTCAATGCCCAGTGGTGTGTACTGTGTATTAATGGTATATTATTATGGGCTATGATATACTTGTCTTCTGAAGTTATTTGCTCGTTTATTCTAAAATAGTAAAATATATAATGAACCACAGGTACTTCCACTTGGTGCTTACCGAAGGTGTGTTCTTGGTGAAGAATACAAATTACAAAATAAAATTGATAAAATGTTTTATTTTGTTCATTTGTGTCGATACGAGAATACGAGATATTGTCCTCAAAATAATAGGAAGGAATCTAAACGGACTTCGCTAACATAGCAATCTAATTGCTCCACAAAGGCTATTTATACATCTCTACTGTACGTCGGTATCGACTTATAAGTTAATAACGATAATATTATGTAATAGGCCACTATTATATAACATATTTGACGTTTTTCGAAAAAATGAGATCAATAAACCGTATTAGAGGTACCTACTAAATAAGAAAATAATATAATATGATATCATCTTATATTCTTATATAATAATAAAATATTCTTTGATATATTAAAGTGTTTGAAGTATGAAATATTTCACTACCTATGTACGTAAAACATGGAAATTTTTTTTAATACAAATATTAATGATGATTATTTTATTATTTATCAATTATTAATTATATAGTTTATGATAACTATGAATAAAAATTGATATTAATGGAATATGAGTGCTGTGGTTAACATATTACTTATTAGTTATTAGTTATTAACTTATTACTATAGTATATATTATGTATAATATTTTATATAATATTTTATATGTTTATCATTTAAACATTTTTGTATGTTTTTTTGCCAATATAAAGATTTGGAATAGGTATCATTTTAAACCTATAATACCGAATGTTAGGTATATTTCATTTATTTATTAGATTCTGAGTGGAACGATGAATGTAAAAGGCTCCTAGTATATTGTTTCAAAGGCAGATGAAAAATATTAAAAATCCTTAGTCGCAGTTTTTTTTTACAAGCATTTAAAGTTTAAAAATTGACAAAATATGGAAAAATCACGAAAATTAGCAGATTATTTTGAGTTAAGAACTCGTAAAAATTTTTCTTTTTAAATCTAAGATTTGAAAATGTAATACAAGATTCCTTATAAGATTATCTACCTTTATCAAAACAAAAATGTCTATAAGAAAGTCAAATTAAATTTTTATGAGCGTTTGAAATTTAAATTTTTACAACATTGTATATTCACTCGATTTCTTATGTGGCGATTTCCTTATTTTGTTGTAATGCAAAAACGAATAACTGTAGATACATGAAAATTTCACTGAACGTTTATATTAGCATTTCCTATACATCATACAATTTTAAAAATATTTTGACTCTTTTTGAGCTGTTTACGGACATTTTCAGTTTTCAATTTGTTTAGTTTTTTTTTCTATAAATATCAATAAAGTTTCATCTGTTGGGTCAAAAAGCGTAAAAATTTAATACAAGACTCCTGATATATTGTTACAATAGCAATTGAGAAATATTAAAAACACATAGGCACAATTTTTTTTTACAGGGTTTTAAGATCGAATTTTGACAAAATGTATCAAATTTAAAATTGAATAATTATTTTGTAGTTAAAAATTTATAAAATGTTCAACTATTATATCTAAGGATTGAAAATTTAAAACGAGATTCCATTTAAGTAGTTAATTCTGTTACCAAAAAATCTGAAAAATACACAAGCACAGTTTATTTTTATAGTCATTTTAAGTTCAAATTTGGACGAAATTACATTTTAAAATCAATATTAACGATTTTAGTTTTTTGTTGTAATTTAAAAATATTATTCGGCGATAGGTATATGAAACTGAAAAATCAAAAATCAAAATATTATGGCCTATCCATACAATGTACCATCACTACCATATTATAATGAATAAGAAGTATGGTCTATGATAAGACTGTGCATATTTTTTTTATTACCATTGATACGTATATAATATGTCTTAAACCTAGACTGACATACCGTCTCCTCTCAGAATCGTAAGTTCAAATTTGGATGAAATTACGTAATAAAAAACCTAGAATAACTATTTTAGTTATTTTGTTGTTATTGTATAATATTATTAGTGGGTACTTGAAACTTTTAAAGTACACTATTATATATCTATGATTGTATAAGCCATAAGGGTTTGTTGTTAATGTATAATGCGTTATAAGTACCTACCTAATGGATAATGTGATATGATTAATTTGGAATTTATTATAGATAGGTAAATATTATAGGTCAATTTTTTTTAATACCATGGATAAGTAGGTATATAATATGTCTTATACCTAGACTGACATACCGTCTCCGCTCAGAATCGTTTTTCTTATACAATGATATTATATCATTGAATTCAAATTTAATACCATCCATTATACAGTGACCCACTTGTAATCTACTGTACAGCAGAGCACCTTTTTTTAAATTTAGATTCCAATACTTGAATTATTATATCTTAACAGTTAGGTATAAGAGAGAAAAACATAAGTAACATAAGTACCGCTCGTTTGGAACTTTTCTGTTTTGCTTATAGACCTATATTAACTCTTTTTCAGAGTTAAAGAGTCTATGGTTTTACACTTTTACTGAACAACTTTTTTTTCAATTTTTTTTTGTTTTTACGTACCTATGTAGTTAAGCGTGCTAAAAACTATTGGGAAGTCTGAATTTGACTGTCAGACATATTTTAAAGTTACAGCTAATTGTAATTTTTTGTATTTTAATACAAAATAGCGTGGTCCCTCATAGATGGCTGCGCTCGCTCGAACAATTAAAATCAAAAACATCTCTCGACTTGTTATGTAAAACATCCATATAGGTGGGTGTCGAAATTATTTTTGGACAATAATTTTTAAAATGTTGATTTACCCAGGTTTCAAAAAAAAATTGATACTTCGTTATATACCTAATAGCGTTGTACGTGTGCGTAAACACCGAAAATCATTAACTTCGTAAGGCTATACCATAAAAACTAATGATTAATTAATTTTTGCACCATCGTTCTTATAACTGGTTGTACCCCGAATAAAAAATTCGTGGAGGCACAATGGCACATATTACTGAATAACTTGGTTTATACCTAATTAATTATTATAATTTAAATGGTGATTATTTTAAAAGACGGTTTTCACCTTTCACGAGCTTATTTTACCGCATATTTCTTAATTTTTAGTGCATAAACGCATATTTAATAACATATTTCATGATTTCTTAGTACATAATATTAATCCAAGCCCAACTAATAACCATTAAAGTTCTTGGAGTATCAAGAATTTCATTGTATACAAAAAACTAGTCTGAACGAAGACGGTTATTGTCAGTGTAAATATTTTATATTCTATTTATATTGTTATTACTTATTAATTATTATTAATACGGAAGCTGGTAAGTTGAATTAATATTATAAATAATTACAATAAAATAACCAAAATCATTATTCTTGGTTATATTTAATTTGAATATGTATAATATCTTCCAAATTTTAACTTAAAATAACTATAAAAAAATTGTCCCCCCAAGCTAGAGGGTATCCACACTGGTGGGCCTCCCTCCTCAAGCCATTCATGTTATTTGTTGTTTCTTTCATTACCAAATTTACTCATTGTATATATAAAATTACAGATTGTAAATATTCTATTTTATCTAATAAAAAAAAAAAAATTGTGCTTATGTATATTTTTTAGTTTTTTTGGTTACAGGATTAACTACTTCATACTTGCGTTTTAAATTTGAACTTTCAAAGCTTATGAAAAAATCTTGCGTATTTTTAAGCTGATACTGTAACAATGTATGAGGAGCCTTGTATTAAATGTTCAAGTATTTTGACCCAACAAATAAAATTGTATTAATATTTATATAAATTGAAAATTGAAAATATCCGTAAACATCTCGAAACGAATCAAAATATTTTGAAAATTTTCAAGTGTACATGTATCAAGTACAGATAATGATAAAATAAACATATAGTGTAAATTTCAAGTGTCTAGGGTTATTACTTATTAGTTTTTGTATTACAACAATATAAGAAAACCACTACATGAGAAATCGAATGAATATCCATCGTTGTAAAAATTTGAACTTAAATCGCTCATAAAAATTAAATTTGACTTTCCAGTAGAGATTTTATTTTGATAAGGGTAGACGTTTTATGAGGAATATTATATTACATTTTAAAACCTTAGGTTTTATAAGAAACATTTTTATGAATTTCTAAATTAAAATAATTTGCACGTTTTCGTGATTTTTAAGTATTTTGTCAAAATTCGAACTTTAAATGTCTATAAAAAAAAATTGTGACTGTCTTTTTAATTATTTTTCAATTTCTATTGTAACAATATGTTAGGGGAGCCTTGTATTCAATTTTATTGACATTTATAGAAAAAAAAGCTAAAACAATTTAAAACTGAAAATTTCTGTAAACACCTCAAAACAAGTCAAATTGTGTGGTGTATAGAAAATGCTAATATAAATATTCAGTGACAATTTCATGTATCTACGGTCATTTGTTTTAGAGTTACACCAAAAACCAAAATCGATTTTGTCGAGAACTGATTTTGCTTAAAAATTCCCGTTTTTCATTAATTTTTAATTTTGTTTTCTTCTGGTGCTTATGCATTTTAACCTAGATACACCAGTTGAATTCACTTTTATACTATACAAGATACTGAAGTTTAAAATTGAATCATTTTTACTGCTCCAAAGGGTAATGACACAAAAATAAAAATAAAAAATAAATAAATAAAAAAACACACATCATTATAAAATCAATACATTCATCACTATCCGCTCAGAATCTAAACACAGGGAACTCGCTCCGTATATAGTATAATAGTAGGTGTCGAGTGTACAAAATATGAATAGATCAATGCAGTATTGGACATTGTGTTGAACTCAGTGGCTATTTAATATTTATGTGTGCACTACAAGTTACAACATACTCTGTGAACTAAGAAACTCAAAAGTGTACTAAAAAAAATGAAAATGTGAACCTGTCACCTAAGATTTTATATAGATAGGCAAGGTTTCATGTTCAACCGTACTGTAGATCGTAGATGTAAGATTATTAGAATATATTATATATTTTAAATAACGTTTTTGAAAAGAAAAAATGTAGAAATTGTATATCATTGGGTACTTGGGTGTAATGTATAATTAATTAATATACATCATGTTTTCGATAAACATGTGATCTTCAGTATTCATATGAAACACTGAACAGAATAATAAGGTACCAAGGATAATATTATGATTTTTTAGTTGTATATTCTAGTGATAGTGTAGGTATATTTAAATACTAGTGTTTGTGAGTGCTGATTTAATTTTCTTATTATTATAATTATAATTGAGTAAAGGTAAACTATTATGCATAGTACTATAAAAATAAAAGAAAAATATATTATAATATAACTCCTAAAAGTATCTATAACGGATTTATCATATAACTTTCAGGCTTGTATTTTATCATCCAAACTTAGAGATGGACTGGCCCGGGTGGTAAGACGGAGAACCATAAAATAATATAAGTTATAGAAAATGATAAAATAAACATTTGGTGAAAATTTCTAGTACCTACTTATCTGTGGTTATTCGTTTTTGAATTACAACTAAATAAGGAATTGGTTCAATGAGAATCCCTAAAAAAAATTTAAACTTCAAACTCTCATTAAAAAATAGTTTGACTTTCTGGTACACTTTTTCTTTGTTAAAGTTAGGAAAACTTAAGAAGAATCTTGTGTTAAATTTATAAATCTTAGATATAAATAGAAACATTTTTATGAATTTCTGACTCAAAATAATTTGCAAATTTTTATGATTTTATTCTAACTTTAGGCGCTCGTAATAAATCATTATGGATTTAAGCTCAAATTGTTTTGATTTCTGCTGACAACACCTTACGAGGAACCTTCCATTAAATTTTCAAGTATTTTGACCGACCAAAAAAAACTAAATCGATTTTGTTAAAAACTGGTTTTGCGTTAAGATCTTCGTTTTCCTTAATTTTAATTTTATTTTTAAAAAATACTGTGGATTTTCAAATTTGACCAGTTTTGTACCAACTAAATTCACTTTCCCATATAAAAAGTTGCCTAGGTTTAAAATTAAAGCATTATTTCTACTAGAAAATTGTTTACATACAAAAATACACATTATTGTAAAATCAATACATTCATCCTGACCGCTGCCCTTGGAATCTAAAATAACAATCTCAAAGCATTTTACTTTTAAGTGTAATAAACTTAATATAACTTGTAAAGCTGCTTACGTCCTACAATAGTGTATGCAATTTGACATTTTAATTCACCCCCTACCTTTACAATCATTAGTAATCAAATTAGTATTTAAATTAGTAATTAGGTTCAACTTAAATTTGAATTAAACGATAAATCATTGTATTCGATGAAAAACATCCTACGGATACATTTTAGATAAATAATAATAGTTGAATATTTCTGTATCCAATTATATTTTGAGAAACTCATTTTACATTTACTTCAATTCAACTTATTATTATATTTTAGATAGTCATGCTAATATATATTAAAAATATACGATGTCGACAGGTTATTAAAAATACTCCCCGCTGGGCGACTAAAATATTTATACTATTATATAACATTATTGCGTACGATATCCTGTCGTGTTATCGATTCGTATGTATGTCCGGATTCGTCGCCGGATGGGCAAGCGTATAATCGTCGTCAGGCGCACGTAACAACACAACGTACTCGGCGATCGATACGAGACGGTATCGATGCGCACAAGGCGTACGCGAGTTGTATACGACGCGTGTCATGCGATCGCCACAAGTTACCGGCTCCGAAACCACCTCCTCCACTACTACTGCCCCCTCAATAACAACCACCATCACAACAACGGCGGACAAACAGCTGACGCCCGTCGCCCGGCGTCCGCAGTTCCGCACACCGTTGGGCGAGAACGTTCAGAGAAAATATTGTCATGTGCGCGGCGCGTTGAACACGCGCGCGCGGACAGGCACCACGCGCCTCGTGCACACGCACACGGCCAGCTCGCACGCACCGCCGCGTTCACGCGTACGCACATGCGCTCGCCACTGCGCCGCAGCTGCACTATACGGCCGTAGAAAAGAATAACCTACGCGTAATACTATGTTTAGAACCATTGATTATAAAATAATCAGTAAATTGTAATATTATAGTATTATACAACACGACTTTGAATAAATTGTTCGCCGGCCCGGCCGTGTTCAGTGTCGTCGTCGTTGTTGTGAAATAAAACTCCCGATAGATGGCGATAAGAAATTATAACAATGTTATAATGTCATTATAATTTATGATATAAATTCCTATTTTATTCCGACCGTCGGCGACTTGGTTTGGTTGGGTGCGGTGCGGAGAAAACAGGTTTTTACCAGTCACTTGACAGTCGGAACCGTGTCACCGATCGCCCATCGTAAACATTCAAAACGAAAACAACGATAATATTGATACAGAATATTTGTTCTGTTTTTTCCTATACTATAAGTCTGAATCAGTAATAATACGAAGCTGATGCCATATTTTGTGTTCAATAATTTTTATGTTATTTATACAGATTTTAAGATAATATTGCAAAATATCATAATAAACAGACTATAATCGATTCAATTGTATATTTTTTTTTTTGAATTTGGTATGAAATGAAGTTTGTGTAGCAAAAAAATACATTAATTTAAATATCCTGTAATGTGTTGAACGTGATTATAAATACAATAGTATTTTTTCTAATATTCGTTTAGTTAGTATTTATTATATTTAGCAGCATTTTGAAAATGTGTATATTCCCTACTCACGAATTTTCCAAATTGCATGCCTTATACGTTTTAGTCCTTAATAAAAGATCAACAATATAATATAATTTGAACTTTACCCATAACGAATTTATTAAAATCGTAAGCTCAGGACGCATTGCTTTCATTGATTTTTCTTTCAACTTTTATTACTATATTTTACATTTTTACCCCACTGCTGACACGATCAGTGAACGATATTGTTCATAATCAATGGCACTAATGTAGCATACTAATTACTAGTATACATGGTACCACGGTACTATGGTAATTGGTAATACCACTACACGTTATTATTATAAAATGATTGCACAATATTATTATAATTTATAATAAATACAACACAAATACGCCACACGCGCGCGTCCAGTGGGAGGGGCCAAAGTTCGGATATCAGTCACAGTGTACGTAGTAGGGAAACGGTTAGGTAAGCGAATGCTTACTGCCTACTACAGAAACTGACTGCCTATAATATTATACAGTATACACGGGAACACAGCTACACACATGCCCAGATTAAGCATTAATTGGGCCCCAGGACACGATACACTTAGTGCCCCCTTTCATATTTAACTTCAAAAAATTGTATCCCTACATACGACTGCTTAAAATTGTATAATTTTGTACTATATTACCACTTACAATCGTCAATTATAGGTAATAAAAACTATCATTTATGCGTACGATGTAGTTGACAACTCCCATTTTATAAACTTCATCATAGAATAGTTTATATTTGTTATAATTTAGTAATTTTACGTGATATATAAATAAGAACATTTTATTTTATAAAGACTTAAAAAATATAGTACTTTGTACATACAACAATATGAATAAATAAATATTTAATAACACAACACGTCAAAATATACTTCAAAAATAACATTGGTAAAATAAGTCAATAAATATAGTAACTAGTAATACAATATAAAAATGTATCATAAATTAACTGTTCTACTTTTTAAATCAGAAAATGTATCAATAATATCCATTATATTTTGGTTGGTCGGCAATTTCTTTTTCTATAGAATTTATAAGTAAGTTGGTGACTTTTTCTTAGGGTAGAGTGCGTTTTGTCTAATTAATATAAATAAAAAATATAAGATACAAATAGTTAAATAAGTACAAGCAATTTTAATAGTATTACACATTAGGCAAAACTACACAAAACATAATAATATTTCAATATTAAAGGTATATTATGCATTATATTTACATGAAAAATGAGAATACCCCCCGGCCAAAATTTAATGTTCGTAATTTCGTATAAATAGTTGTCATTTAATATAGTAAAAAAGTTAACCTAACCTATAATAATAATTAATGTTGTTTGATCTAATTAATATAAATATAATGGAAATTAAAATAAATTTAGTACATCTCTGCAAAATCGGACTTTAATAATTTGTAGAAACAAAATTTTTAACCATAAATTACCAAAAGAATTTTGTTCTTCTCACTTGTCATTTGCTCCATAGTGAACGGATAATGTTTGACTGACTAGCAATTATTCTTATAATATCGTATTACTATTTAATCGAATCCCTTCGAAAATTCAAACGGAAATGCCGAATATGGTTACAGAATGAGAATGTTTATAATAGAGTTCGTTATCTTAATAAAGTAGATGGCAAATAATCAAGATAGACTGATACAAATGTACAACGAAAATCGTTGTAGCTTTATACACGACAGTACGCACTACACACCTTATCACCACACGATAATAATAATGGACAGAATCGACTTAATTTTAAATTATCAAAACGTTTTTATTTCAACTGACAAAACAACATAATTTTATTCTTGTGTAAACAATTGATTTGAGTTTATTGTTTATCAGCACACAACTTGTATAAAACTTAATAAAACTGTCAGGACACAACTCGTGTACCAGAAATTTAGTCGGGACACAACTCGTTAACTGCGCTTTAAATAAAGTTTTTTTTTTTTATCATTTTCAGCTTTGAAAATTAAATTTTAATGACTAACTTGTTTAAAATTTGATACATTTATTTGACGTCAACTAATATAGGTAGGTAGTAAAAATTAAAACAATTGAATGTATTAAAGAACACATTTACGAATTTAGACTTTACGATTGTTATTCGTAATTTTGTCATTCATTTGACCGTCGATTGTCATCACTATACGATTTTTGACCCGACCCTCGACCGTATGGTACACGTCAAGACGCACGCACGGTGGTTATGTCGTTTCGTCATTATACTTGTTAATTATTATATTTTCAGTGTTGGGTAGTAACGTAACACAAATTACAAATTACTGTAATGCAATTACTTTTTCAGTAACGCAGCAATAATTTCATTACATTTTACTTAAAGTAACGCAATTGTAAAAAAATTACTTTTGAAAAGTAATTTCTATGAAGTAACGCACTAACGCGTTATTTTCCATGTTATTAAAATAATAATTTTGAATGAGTTACTAAAACAAGCTGATAAGATATCCCAGAAAAATTAAAATCAATTATATTTATTTTTGATTCCGATAATAGACAATATTAGGTACTAAAAATTCCCGGAATAAATGTTATCAGTTAGCACTTTATTAGCAGAAAGAAAAGAGTTCGGTTTAAAAATAAAATTTAATAAAAATTAATTATGATTTATGACTTATGATTCTTATATAGGTGAGATGATTGTACATTTGTACATAATACTACATAAAATAGGTCCATTATCACTAGGTCTATGATTGTAAAATATATACATAATAATTTATTGAATCATATGAGTGGAATATGATTAAGAAAAAAAATAAAAAAAAAGTAACGTTATTTGTAACGCACTACTTTATTAATTAAAAAGTAATGTAACGTGATAAAAATAATTTTAGGTAACGCAAATGTAAAATAAAAATATTTGATGTAACGAGTAACGTAATTCCATTACTTTTTAAAAGTAATTTACCCAACACTGTATATTATAAATATAATAATAATTTAATATTATAATACGTAAATATTATATTATGATTTATGACTACATAATATATTATTTAAAGCATGTTCGAACGCGCACGTGTGTCGTGTGTGTCGTGTGTGTACTACAGTAGCTGTTGTAGTACCTACTGTATCGTTTAGTATTGATATTTTAACTTGAGCTATTCATATAGGCAGAAGTAGCAGGTATTATATTATTATAGTACGCTTTTACTTGTTTTTGTTTAATATAATATAATATTTTCCTATTAATGCATATTCAATACCTACTGAAATGTTTGTGTGATTCGAATAATCGAATCGCTTTTTACGTGCTGAATGCCGATTGCCGATAAATGAATATAATATAATTATAATATGTTAAATAAACGATACCGCCGCATACACACTGTCTACTATACACCGTGTATAATACACGTCGTTTGTTCTCCCTTATTCCCCCTCTAGACCGGCACCAACGTTACCAGACCATATTTTCCCAGCGCCGCGTAAAAAGTTTCTGGCAACTGGTTATGCGTCGTCGCGGCATTGTACCGACAAAAAAAAAACCCCGTAATATATTAATATATTATGAGAATGCATTACGCACACATTGACATACAGTCACGGACACGTTCATTATTGCATAATATTAATTAATAACTATTAACATAGTAAACATTTGGTGTCTAAATTGTACCGAGAGACTAGATTCGATTGACACGGACCAGTCTGGTTCGGCGATATCGTATTTCTTTAATCGCGAACATGACAATATAAATGTCTACTCTGGGTCGTACACCGTACACTACATCGCAATAAAATAATGTCGTTCCCCATTGTAGCATTTTTTAGTTTATTTAAATTTTTTATAACTTCTCAACAGCCTAAAAAAATAAAATTCGGTTGGTACTCTGATATACAGGAGGTGTAAAGTGTACCTCATTATTGAATAGGTGATTGTAATAAATGTGTTTAATTTAAACTCAATGATAAATGATTGAGTACAAATAACGATTCCGAGAGTGAAAATTATCTGTGGCATCGTCCGTCTATATTACTAAATATATTTTATTTATTTATTATATATTTATATTGCTATCATTATAAGGAATTTATTTTATTATTTTTAATTCAGTTGATTAAATTAATCCTACTTAATAGTACTAATTCATCCATGACATGAGTGAGGATAGACAAAATATTATATATTATATAATAGGTTGTTTGTTTGTAAAATTTCAAAACATGTTTATTGTGTTAGTTATTCATATTTCATATTCATTCAGTCATAAAATTTAAGACCAACTTCTATTGAGTATAATTATCCTTTTCTTCAGTTGTATACTAAATTCTCTTCT